AAAAAAAAAAAAAATAGAAATAAGCTGATTTCAAGAATGATTAGGTATGTGCATACCACAAAATAGTATCTGGAGAAACTGTGAGTCATAAGATATGGGCATGCTGCCAGCTTTTCAAGTTAGTTATCAAACTACACTCCCACCTGCAGCCCCTCAGTGTAGGAGGCCAACAGTCGCTCCCAGATTCTCCAGCACTCAGTACTCTATTTTTGCCATCCTGTGGGTTGGTACTGCATTCTGACTCTAATCTGCATTATCTCCTCTGATAACAACCCTGCAGAGCACCTTTCCTAAGCTCACTACTTGAACATCCTCTTCTTGGCATGGATATTCACATCTCTGCCCTGCTAGTAAGAGTTATATATATTCTTTGGATATGAGGACTGTCAGGATAAAATATACACACATATATGTCTGTGTGTTTCAGCTTAGATGTATTCACCAAAGTCCATGTGTTAGAAATGTAACCCTCATATTTGCATGGTAATGGTATTTGAAGACATGGCTCTGAGAGATTAGGATTTGATGCAGTCACGAGGGCAGGGTCCTTCTGATCACATTAGTGACTTCGTAATGAGAAGAGAGATGTGCTCTGCTAGCACACTTGCTGTCTTAACATGTGTATTAGTTACTATTCTGTGATAAAACACCATGACCAAAGCAACTTAAGAAGAGTTTTTTGGGGGCTGTGGTTAGAGTGGGGGTCCATGATGGCAGAGAGGAGGCATGACAGCTGGAGATGGAAACTGAGCTCACATCTTAAACCATCAGGAAGTAGAGCAATAGGAAAGGCATGGGGCTTTTAAACCTCAGATCCTCACCCCAGGGACATACTCCTAGCAATGCCCTGCCTCCCAAGCTTCCCCAAACAGTGCCACCAACCATTCAAATGACTAAGGGGACATCTCACTCGAGCCATCAAACTATGCAACTGCCTCTGTCATGTCACAACACAGGGGAAAGCCCTCACCAAATAATTAGCAGATGCAAGGACCATGTTTACGGACTGTGCTGCCTTCAAGTAAT